TTTTCTTAGACTTCCTAGGGGGTGCACTTTTGTGTATTTTCAAAGAACTCTTTTTTATATAAAGGACTATTGAGATTTAATATGGCCACCTTCAACAGCTGATTTTTGTGCACTGAGGTGTTAGAATAAATTTCACCTCTGATTCAAGCAACTGATTGTGTTCTTTATTCCCGGCTCAGAAACCAACCCGGTGATGATGTATTTCCAATATACACACACTGTTTCCTTATTTCTGTTGATCTCCTGGATTAAATAAAGGCTGTTACTACAATTTTGTGCCTTTACCATCAGGCAAAAGTATCAAAGGAAAATGACAAAAAATGATCTATGGACAAGACTGGTTAATTTGCTGTTCCAAAGCAGATTTGTGGCAATCTGCTTAATTTCTGGGAAAAAAAGCATATCAGACCCTAGGTAATTAAACAAATAAGTTATCAGAAAAACAAACAGAATGAACGAGTAAAAGAAAAAGGAATGTCAGAGCTATAAGGAATCTACTTTTGGCTCTGGGCTTCTTGTCAGGAAGGAACAATAAGCCTGAAAGAATACTGGAAAGACTTCAGGAGAGAAAAAAAAATGTTCTCCTTTTTTACATCAAGGGAGGTAGAAGTAGAGTGGATAAAAACTGGCGGTGCTTGGCATCACCACTTTCTGTATTCTCACTTAATTTGCTAAGTCACAATTCCTTCTTCCCAAATGTTATAGTAGTCAATGAGGAAAAAGCAAATTATAATGCAAAACCCACAATCTCCATCAGGGAAATATACAATTCATCAAATCATCTATGCAGGTCTTCTATTCCATGTTCAAGAGGAAATCCTGATTACAAGTAGCTTTTGAAGCATGAAAAATTATAGTTCTACTTTTTTCTGCATTGATAAGATCCCGCCTCTCTGCAGGTTTGGCACAAGGCTTTAAAAGATTCAGAGAAACTGGAACAGGTTTGTGGGAGGGCAAAATAGATGAATCAGGAGACTAGAAATTCTGTCTATAAAAACAAAATGAAGAGAGTGGGAATTTTAACCTTGAGAAGAGAAGGAAGAAGGGTCTATGACAACATTTTTCAAATAGGGTGTCAGCATCACCACCAGATGGATCTGTAGCTGGCTGACCGGCCGTACTCAGCGTGTGGTCCTCAATGGAACCGCATCTACATGGAGGGAAGTATGTAGTGGGGTGCCCCAGGGCTCTGTTTTCTTTAAATTATATTCTGTTTTTTTCTTTTTATGATCCTGTAATCCCTTTTATTGGGACGGAGCCGAGGTGACTAAATGGAGCTGAGCATTTACTGGCCAGATGCCCTTCCTGATGCCTACATGGAATTTACAGCAGATATTTTCTCTTTATGTTCTGATAGAGAAACATTTGTCACTGCCTAGGATTGAACTCTCAACCTTTTGAGTGGGAGGTGAGCGTCTTCACCTCTAGGCCACCTGTTGGCCCTATATTTCTATTCTGTGATTCTATATTATTTATGTGATTTCTTACTTCACTGAGGAGGATCCAGATGACAGCTGAAATGGATCACAAAAGTCCTTAAAACTACCGTATATGCCGGCGTATAAGGCGACTTCTGCGAGCGCTAAAATCGGCGCCAAAGACGGGGGTCGTCTTATACACCGAGTCGTCTTATACGCCGGAAATACTGGTAGTTTCCGGCGTATAAGATGACATTCTAGGAATGCGGCTCGGCGATAAAGACGGGGTCGTCTTATACGCCGGGTCGCCTTGTACGCCGGCATTTACGGTATGTATGTAAGCAGCTGCTCCATATCATACGTCTCCCTTTAATATAATTTTTCACAATGAAAGCTGTGCCATGGATAACATCAGCATGGTTTTTGCACATTTGTAGATGAATACAGCAATGTAGTGGGGCAAAAAGGTATTTATAATCTATAGGTATTGATTTTTATGACTTTTTATTTTAGGAAGGCAACAGAGAAGCATAATTTAATATCCATCCATGCTGTGGCCTGGATGGATATTATTACTACAAAGTCAGAAACATGTTCCCAGAAACGTTGGTCCAGTCATTTTCTGCAAGAAAAGCCATCCATTCTCCACCACAGGAACAAGTGATCTAGGAGTTGCAAGAGACAGACACTGCTTTTTTGCAGCCCAAAAAAAGGACTTTCCAAAAAAGTGACAAAGCAGTAGGAATGTGCACTGCTGGTTTTGCTATTGTTAGGATTATATTAATATTTTAAATCTCAAAATAGGCATAAATCATTAAAACAGTTTTCTGATACCCTATTTTTGAAAAGATGGAAAAAATAGAATCTGAAAAATTCTTCTACTTCCTTCTTACTTGATATACATCTTTGTTATACAGAAAAATAGACCATCTTTAATCATGTTTGTCAATGACCACTGGTGGATTCAAGATGGGGGTGGTGCTATTGTCTTAGTTCTTGTTGATCTCTTACCAACCACTCAGCAATCGCAACTATCAATCATGATATCCTTCTGGACTGATTGTAGTTTCTAGGAATGGGGTTTCCATGGTTGGTTGCAGTCAGTGTTGCTATAGAGGAGAGGTTGAATCTGCTGCCTCCGATTTGTGGGGTGCCACATGGCTTGATGTTCCTTTTTCTCCTATTTAACATTTGCATGAGGTTAGTGGGTGAAATTATCAGCCAATGCAATGTATTATCAGTCAGCAGAAATGACAAGGATTCCCAGATTCATACCAGATTAATCCGGTATGTCAAATGTGCATTTTTCTGGAGTTTCTTCTCATAATCACTAAACCTTAGTAACCTCATGTGTGGAACACTGCAATATATTGTACTTGTGGTTCATTAATCAACTCTTCAAAGTTACAACAGTACTGAAAAAAAGTGATTTATAACCAGTCCTTGTGTCAACTTTGAAAATGAGCATGGCTGCAGCCATCTTCCTTATTCATTTGCAGTTGACACATTGAAAGAAGGGAGAGGGTGTTGCCAGGTGCTTCACTAATCAAAATAAATCTTTGTCCCATGGGAACCAAGGTCATTGGCTGCTCCCGAGACTACAGGCTAGGCATTTTGTGAAAAGCCTGCCAAGATGTATTGGGGAATGTAGTTGCTTGCATAGCCTTAGGGGTGGGATTTCTTAACTTTGTATTGGGCAATTGTTACGTGTCTTTAGACTTGGTTTCACTTTTGACATGCTGATACTTTGTAACTAATAAACATGTTCTTTGAGGAATTTCCAAGCCTCAGAGTTCTGCTTTATTTGTCTCTGTCTGTCGGAACCATGACACCTTGCACTTACAACCATTGCAGCATCTTTATGGTCATGGGATCAAAATTTGGGCCAGCATGTATTTATGATAGTTGCAACATCTGGGGTCATGGGCTCACCATTTGTGACCTTTCCAACTGGCTTCTGACAAGCACATTCAATACAGTCTTGGACTTCAACTACTTTAGTTATTTCCATTGTAAAAAACAGATCTTCGAACTAGGAGTAAGTAATCCACGATCTTTAGCTCACTTTTCAGTCATGGGTTAGTTAGAAAAGAGGAGGGAAAATGTGTAACCTACTGGTATGATTTTATTTGTTTGTGTAACAATGGCATATTCGAGATGTAAATGGATGGAAGTGTTTTGTTTTAGAATCAGAACTCTGAACATATGCATTGGGTAACTCTAGGAAAGTACAAATACATATTTATGCCTTTTATTTTGAAAATAAATGAGCAGCACTGTTGGGCTTCAGGCTTTAGTGTCCATGGTCTAGACAACAGATTTCCAGATGTTTCACCAATGATGTGGCTAGCATCTTCAGAGACAATGCAGACTACAGGAAATTGAGCAAGGAGTGACTGGGCTTCTGTCTTTGTAGTCAGTTGTCCCAAGTGCTGATTGGTCTTTAGTTGAGCTAGTTTCCAACTAGTAGAGATTGGTGAGGGATGGTCCTGCTTCTGAAGATGCCAGCCACAGCTGTTGGCAAAATATCAGAAAATCTATTGTGGAGACCATGTTCACCAAATGCTGAAGCCCAATTTTGCCCAATAGATACTGGCCATGAAAGTCTGTATCAATATAAGCAGTAAGACTTTTTTCACTTTGTGAAATACAGGAAATAAAATATCTGAATTCATGCTTGGAAATATCAAGCAGTTCAACCTCAATGTCTTAACAAAATTGGAACACTGCACCCAATTTTGATTGCATCCAGTTTTGATTGCCACAAAATAAAAAAGATGTTGAGATTCTAGAAAGAGTGCAGGGAAGACAAAGATGATTAGGGGATTAGAGACTAAATCATATGAAGAATGGTTGCAGGAATTGGTAGTTTATATCTAAGGAGCTGCCACAAAGAAGAGGGAGTCAATCTATTTTCCAAAGCACCTGAAGGACAAGAAGAAATGGATGGAAACTAATCAAGAAGAGAACCAACCTAGAACTAAGAAGATTTTCCTGACAGCTGGAACAATTAATCAGTAGAACGACTTGGCATCAGAAGTTGTGAGTGCTCCCATCACTGGAGTCTTTAAAGAACAGATTGGACAACTATTTGTCTGAAATGGTATAGGGTTTCCCCTGGAGCAGGGAGTTGGACTAGAAGACCTGCAAGGTCCCTTACAACACTGTTATTCTGTTTTGTTAAAACCAGGTCTTTAATCATTATCTGCAAAAAAGGGGTCCTCTGGATATTAAAGAGGAAGCAAAAACAAAATAAAAATCCTGAAAGGTATCAAGGTAAAATAAAGTCCAGATCTGCCAGGAATTTGTCATCCATCAGTCCTAAAGGAGATCAACCCTGACTGCTCTTTAGAAGGCCAGATCCTGAAGTTGAAACTCAAATACTTTGGTCACCTAATGAGATGGAAGAACTCACTGGAGAAGAGCCTAATGCTGGGAAAAATTGAGAGCAATAGAAGAATGGGATGACAGAGAATGAGGTGGCTGGATGGAGTCACTGAAGCAGTAGGCGTGAGCTTACATGGACTCCAGAAGATCGTAGAGGACAGGAAGGCCTGGAGGAACGTTGTCCATGGGGTCGCGATGGGTCGGACACGACTTCGCAACTAACAACAACAAATTTCATTTATCCTTAGTACAGAATGAAGAAATATTAGAGTAAATTTCCCAGAGCTTCCTCCTATTTTGTATCAAAGTTTGATGATTTGTCACTGAAGTTTGCTGATGTGTCTTGCTAGTAAAATTCAGCAGGCATGGTTTCCAGACAATTTAACAAGTTATGTAAGGCAATGATATTTTAAAAGCTTTTGATGTCATACAGCTAAATATATTGCAGAGAGTTACATGGATTCTTATTTTACATGCTTTGGGTTTTGACCAGAGTTTTTAGGTGCACTTTTTATTTACTAATGTTTTTCAATTTATGTATTGTTTAGTATATTTTATATAGTAATTTTATAATAATAGTGCTAGTTGTATCTGGATTGTATCCATTTTATCACTATTTTGTTATTTGTATGCTCTTGTACATTTTTTTTAAAATAGCTCCTTAATTTTGGCAAGTTGGCCTTCAGCAGGATATTGAACCTGTTCACTTCTGACTTATGATAATACTGCTTTCCACCGGCACTGTGCTCGACTGCAGGATTACACATTTGGGCAAAGGAGCCCAAGATATTCATACAGCAATGTGGACACTTGGCTATTCATTTTGCGCACTCAGCGTCAACTTTCCAAACAGCTGAGCTTGGCACAGAATCCTGCACAATCTCTAAAGGGTTTGAGAATCTTCTTTAGTTTCATTGCTGTCTAAATTTTACAGCTGGGCTTTGCGGGCAAGCTCCCAAGATCAGGAAAGCTGAATTTCAGGGCAATTCAGGTGCTGTTAGCTGTTGGCTTCAAGGAATGGCTGTAAAGCATCCAAAGGAACTTCATTTTCTCCAGAGCACTGAATCCATGTAAGCAAAGCATGATAGCAATCACCAGTTTACCCCAAGCTGGACAGATTGCTCACTTAGCTGCTCACCTCAAGGAGACACAGGTGAATCACAAGGTGAAAACCCATTAAACTGCTTGATTTTAATCAGAATATTGAACAGTCTTGGTCAGAGTTAGCTTCCTGGCAAATCTTGAGACATTTTGGACAGGGACTTTCCCCAACTCTCTACAGATGTCAGGAGTCCTATTTACATTCAGGGCATATACTGTGTGCTGATTTTTGGGCTCTTTAAAGAGGTGTGTGTGTGTCTTTGGTGCTCCCTGAAGTTGGTTGTTTTCTTGCAGATGTTTCATTACCCAGACTAGGTAATATCATCAGGGCACTAAGGACTGCTCATTTCAACCCTCAACTACAAATATTCTTCTTTATTAGTCTTCAAAGTCTGCTCTCCATTAGTGCACAAGGCCTCTATGGTGGCTGCAGAGAAAAGGAAACAATCTGTGATCACTGTGGAAATCAACTGGATCACCAGAGGACAGACAGTATATTTGCTTCCTCCCCTTCACACACTCTACTTTGCTAAAGAATAGCATCCTGCATTTCCATGGTGGCTGAGCAGAAGGTGACTTTTTTTTCTTTTCCTGTAGCCAATATTGAAATGTAGGTCATGCTTAAGGAAGATAGGCTAGTTATTTTTGCAGATTATTAATAAAGCCAAATGAATATCTGAAGCATTTCATTCCTATGACCAGCTCTTCTTTGAAACTCACAGCCGAAGACTTTTTGAGATACCTGAATCAAGCTTTCACTACTTGCTTGGCAAGCTACAGATAAAACAAACTATGATTCTTGGTAATTGTGGTTCATAAAGCATACTTTATGATATATTTTAATGCCTGCATGTCTTCAAAAAGTTCTCACCCATTGTCTTGCATTGTACTACCTTAAGTAAAAAAAGTTTTTCTTTAGTTGCCTACCTCCCTTTACTTGCCCATGACATTCTGCTGAAAAATATGATATCTGTAATAACAAGCACATTTTGCAAACTAACTATCATTCTGACAGATTTGTGAGCACCCACTCTTTCTACTTATATTAGATTTCCTCTGGAATTAAAGACCAAGAAAGCTACAGAATTCATTACGCAAGTGAACAATTCTGTACTTTTATTGCCCAATAATTAAGAAATTACAAGACAAGACTCTCTCACATAGAGAGGGCAGGGTATTTACAGATATAAATACCCTGCCCTCTGTAAACATAATCCATAAACATGCCTGGATCTGGTGATGTCTTCCACAATGCTTACAATCTAAAAAAGTCCCCTTGAGTGACAGATTCAATCCCATTTGACACTGATCCCAAACTGGTTTCCAGTCTACTGTTGGTTTTGTATTCATGTTGCTGTTTTGGCAACAAATAAAAGCTATGAATTAAAGAGCAAGAAAGAAAGACTGAATGTGCAAGCCTTAATGATATTCCCTGATTCCCTGCAGTGCTGACTTATTTTTCTCAATATTCTGCAGGGATCTGACACAGATATTTCCATGTGCCTTTTTTCCCTGCCAGCAGTCCAAATGGATGACTCCTGCTTTGATCACTTCTTTTGCAACTTGACAAACAAAATTGCTGAAATGTGCCTGGCAAACCATGACCGGCTCTTAATGACCAGAGAACCCCACTGAGTGCTTATGAAAACAGCAACGGTAAAGGACTGCTCAAAGTCTTTGCAGATTTTACTCCAAGTTAAAGAAAGAAGATGGATGGGAAGGGGGGGGGAGGGAGAAAGAAGGGAAGGGAGGAAGGGGCTTGAAAATGTTGAATAGCTAAGAACATAGGTATTGTTTGCCATAAGAGATCTACCTGTCCTGGTAAAGGCTAAAGACTTCTGATAGTGTTGGGCAAGTTGTCCCAAATGCTAAATGCATTTTTTTGAAATTGTAATATCTATGCAGTTCCATTACTTTTAGAGCAGGGGTTCCCAACCCCCAGTCCGTGGACCGGTACCAGGCCACAGCATGCCAGCAACCTGTACGCACAGACAAGCAAAGCCCCATCCATGGAAAAACCGTTCTCCCCAGAACCGGTCCCTGGTGCCCAAAAGGTTGGGGACTTCTGTTTTAGAGGGAATAATTTTGGTTCTCACCTAGTGGGCTAGTGAGCAAACAAAGGCACCCCAATGAAGAAACAGACAAAAAACAAGTCTTCCCTCTTGTGATATTTTCTAGGTACTTTGGATCAAATTGCCAGGATCCCTATCTTTCTGGTATACTGAGAAAGTTTTGGAAAGAGATCCCCCTATAGTTTTAAGGCCTGGTTCTCGGTCATGCCTATTTGTGTGATACTATATTGTACAATCCTATCATTATATTTAGGACAAGGTATCAAGAAGAGGGGGTTGACCTACAGTATTCTCCAAAGCACCTGAGGGTAGGACATGAAGTAATGGGTGGAAAGATCCAACCTAGAACTAAAGAGAAATTTCCTGGCAGCGAGAAAAATTAATTAGTGGAATGGCTTACCTCTGGAAGTTGTGTGTGTCCCATCCCTGGGGATTTTCAAAAGGGATTGTCCAGAATGGTTTATGGTTTTCTACTTGAGCAGGAGGTTGGACTAGGAGGCCTCCAAGGTCCCTTCCAATTCTCTTATTCTGTATTCTGTAAAATGTGTAGTAAATAATTCCAATATATCAGAATTGTAATTTGAAAGTCAAATCAAATTCCAGGTTTTCTGTATAAGCACATTTTAAATCCTAGCTTCAGCTACTCTTAATTGCTTAACCTTTTATTAAGAAGGCGCTCCTTCACTATAATCCACGTATTTTCTGTTTTTACATTATAGCTTATCTTTTTACAAATACACAATGAGGAAGACTGCACTGCAGCATTCTCTTAGAAATAAAATTACATTGTCATAAAATTTAATAATTAGAAACTCTAGATATACCACAAAATATTCATGCTGTGAAAATAATGCTGCAGTATATAATATCCATGCAAAAAGTAAAAACACTGCCACTTTTTCATTATGAAAATAATCTCCATTTCTTCTTTGAAGTTTCTGTAAGCACTGTTAAAGAATTTATGTTGAAATTATTTTTAAAAAGAAGAGCAAAGATGAATGAATCAGTGGGGCAATTCATCACTTCTGTCCTAATGATTCCTAACATAACACTTTCAGTTCTCCTGATCAGCACAACTACGATTATTTTTTGCAGGTTTCTGTTGTGACAACTTTATCTCTTTGTGTTAGATCCCATCAGTATATATATGAAATTAAGATTATTTACTTCAAATATCATTTAGTACTTATATATGGGTGTGTCCTTTCAAAACTCCACAATATTTATTTATTCAATTCATATGCTGCCCATCTCACTCAGAGTAATTTTATAATACAAAAAAGCAGGAATATAAAAACATTAAAAATGTAAAAATTAACATATCTTTACTTGCAGTGTTTTACAAATCCTAGTACATGTCCTTTTATAGCTTTCTATCTTAGTTATCTATAGCATTCAGAATATTGATTGCAAAGCTGATTATAATTTTATAAGTCTCTACCAGGTTTTAATTCCTGTACTTTGTAATGTTATTAATTTTATTTAGCCTATCAATGTATTTAAAAAAATGCTTATAGAGTGACTGTTATTAGTTTTATGTTGATTCATGTCAAATGCAAACCAGAATAATTCTATGAATAGGCCAAAGCAGTTATTTATCATTGATCACCTATGTTACAAGAATCTCATCAGACTGGTTGCATTCCCTTGAAAATCAGCAGATACTTCCCTAATTCGGTCTGTGACATTTCCTCTCCTGGAGTGACTCCATACTGGACTGCCTCTTAACTCCTCACTTTCCTTGTCTAATATTTTTCGGTGATACAATGGGAGGGATCCTTGAATGTGATACTGTTCAAAAACATTCTGAAAACCTGGGACAATAATCTGTCTAAGCATGCAAAATATTAAAATGTCCTTAGAATGTTTCATAACTCAGAAGTAGAACATGATGAGATTTTATGATTTATATAAATAAAATCCCAATTTCAATACCTGGTTTGTTAATCTAAAGGATATCAGATTAAGAATGATTCACTTAAGAGCTTAGAAAACAGCACGTTGTCAAAGATAATAGTTCTGGCAGCAGGAGAATGACTTGACTCAAAAATGGCAACTTCATGTGTCCACACAGAACTATTGCCCATTTTAATTATTCATCTTCAGCTTTTATGATGTTATCTGAGCACATTCATCATATTAGTTTAAAGGATTCAGCATTCTTCCTGCCAGCAAACTACTAACGAAGAGATACCTTAATTTACACCTTGACTTTTTATTAATATCTTATGAAAAAAAGATCACATGGTGCTTAGCAGAAGATGCAATGAGAGCCTTAGCTTGGTTAGACTGCAAAAGTTTGCTCTCTGCTGGATCAATGCAAATGCAAATGAAAGCAGAAAGTGTAATCATCAAAGCTTTCACTGCTAATGGGAGCTAATAATAATTGACTGGAAGAAGGACAATCATTCTTTTTAAGGAAGGAGGTTAACAAAGTAATCCAATTATCTGGCCTAATCTATCACTTCCTCTTCACTCTTTTTGTTACAATATCTCCAGCAAGTTTCTCCCATTATTCTTTTCTCTTTTCCTGTGTCCATATCTAACCTTTCTATTTCTATCTCTTGACTATCATGCCCCATATCATTGTCTTTCCTCTCCACTATATAACCTACCTCACCTCTTCTCTTCTGCCTTCTTCCTAGAGTAGTGGTGGCAGCACTCAGAGCCCTCTCTGTGGGCACACGCACCATGCCCCAGAGATGGCAACCGTCCCTCTTCAACCAGCCGCCCGCTAACTCGCCGAGGTCCACATGGCTGGATGCATCCCAGCACCCATGCGCTCGCTGGCCTCTGTGTGCAGGGGCTGATGGTGTGAGGCAGCAGCCGCCCTGGCCCCTGCCTTGCCCTGTCCTGCAACAATGGCTCCCCCACCCTGCCTTGCCTTGCCTCACTCTGCAGGACGAGTCTCCTGCCCGCTGCCCCACCTGACAGAGACCCCCTGGATTTCCCCCAACTCTGCCCGGCCCCCACAGGTGTCCCTCTCCATGAACAACATCGAGGTGATCACGCCCACCTTGGCCACACCCAGTCTGCCATGAGCACCAAAGCCACGCCCACTTAGTGGGCCACGCCCACCTGGCACCCGGCAAAAAATAAGTGGGTTTTGGGTTGCAGTTTGGGCACTCGGTCTCTAAAAGGTTCGCCATCACTGTTCTAGAGTGTCCAAACATCACACTGTTTCCTCATAACAGAATAACGGAGTCGGAAGGGACCTTGGGGGTCTTCTAGTTCAACACTCTGCTGAAGCAGGAAACCCTATACCAGACAAATGGTTGTCCAATCTCTTTTTAAAAATCTCCTGGAGGCAGTACAATCTCTTTTTAGTCTGGAGGCAAGTCATTCCACTGGGCTTCCCTAACCCTTTCATTTAACATGACTTCACTCTTCCACTTTCAGATCTTTTTCCATGTCCAAACACCCGATTGTCTACTGCTGGTTCCGCCATCTTAAAATCAAGGCAGAATAAATACTCTCATCTGATGGTGGGTAATCTGCATTCATTTATTGGTGGCAAAACCATGCAGAAAATCCTATCAACTAGACCAATTACACTCTTCTAGTTAGAGAGCCAGTTTGCACCAAGACACTCTGAGTTCTAGTCTCGCCTTAGCCAAAAAGCCAGCTAGGTGACTTTGAGCCAGTCGCTTTTCCTCAGCTCTAGGAAGAAGATAATGACAAACCACCTCCAAAAATCCTGCCAAAACATCTGTCAGGAGTTAAGACAAACTTGAAGGTACAAAAATAGCAACATACTTTGCAGGAGATGATTTGAGAGAATTTCTCTTTTATTCCACTCACCTGCATATATTACAATTGTAGTTTCATTACTGGGAACAAATCAGGTTGCTGCATTTTTAAAATTAATGAGGAAAAAAAAAAAAAAAGAACCTGGACCGTGCAAGACAACCTTTCCATTTTCTTTCTGCGCTAATAACTTTGAAAGCAATTTTCACTCCTCCCCTTTAATGCTCTTTCCCCTTTTAATTTTTCCCACCTTTCACTAATGGGACAAATTAAATGGTTTAGTGTTGCACTTCTAATGACACAAGGACAGAAATTAATGGGCCTCAAGCTGGGACTCCAGCAGCAAGAACCTTACTTTCTGCCTCTGAATATATAAGTAATACAATTAAATAAGCAGCTTTGTACTCCTTTGATATTTACAAACAGGTTTCCCGGGTAGGCCCCTCCCAAGTGTCAGGAGAGAGAACGTTCTAAAGAACAGGCACCACTTTTTTACATCTAGGTATAAACTTGAAGCAGATTACAGAATGAAATAGTAAAGGAAGACAATGCTAACTACCAAAAAAGCCCCCATAATATCTAGGAATAATGCAGCTCCCTTTTTTTCTTTCTTTCATGCACAAACACAAAAATCATGAAATCAATCCTGTGATTTTTTTTATTTTTGCTTTAAGAACCCACATTGTTCTACTGCATTAAACGAAATGATGGGTTTTATATAAATGTACAATATATATATATATATATATATTGCAGATGTGTCTGTAGGAAGTAATTAGTCCTGGATTGTTGGAGAGATAGTTTCAACTGGACATCTAATGTCTAAGCAATGCACACACAAACGCACCCAGAGAAAAAGAGAGAGAGACAAACAGACAGACGATAAGCTAATTAATTTCCCCACCAATTAAATATAATTTGAATATGGAGTGGGGCAGAATTCATGTAGTAACTGAAGAGATAGAGGGGCTAATTCTGGCTTCACAAGGCCAAGCCTTAAGAATACAAAGCATACAAAGCAACAAATGACAGTAGCAGGCAAGAAATGCTGCCTCTGCAAAGAAGAAACAGTGGACAACCCAGTTAGCTGCTGCAAGAAAATCGAACAGATTGACTATAAACAATAGTGTGACAAAGTAGCAACAATGGTCCATTGGAAAATCTGCAAGAAATACCAGTTGCCTGCAAGCAGAACTGGTGGGACCATAAAATAGACAACATAATAGAAAATGAAGAAGCTAAATTGCTCTGGGACTCCAGAATTCAAACAGCCACATAACATCCCAGACTTAACAATGGTCAATAAAAAAGATATAAAAGTCTGGATATTGCACGTGACAGTACCTGGAGAGATAGAACTGGGGAAAATCAGAAAATACAAAGACCTGTAGAATGACTATGGCAAAGGAAAGCCATGTTCTGTTCTGTTCTGTTGTTCTGTTCTGTTCTCCCCTCCCCTCCTCTCCCCTTCCCGTCCCTCTCTTCTGGGTACAATCCCAAAATAATGCAGCACCACTTGAATATCATTGGCATTTACTAAATCTCCATTAGTCAATCACAAAAGGCAGCTTTATTTGGAACAGTTTACATCTTGTGATGATACTTTTAATATCATTAAACAACAACATCTGCCTATCCCAGGTCCTTGGGAAGGACTTGATAGGTAGATAAAAGTGCCAAATCCAGTTTGGCTGACTCCATGATAGGCAATAATAAATTTCTATTTTTTCTCTTCTCATCTCCCTTGAGAATATGTACAGTATCATTAGATTAAATGTGATCTTGCAA